ATCAATACATTGAAATACAGTTTTTTTTCTCTTCCATTCTAATCTATTGTTATATCTTTATGTGATTTTGTTAATCTTTTCATTCATCTCACTAGACCATTTACTCAGTCGTCTATTCGAGTGATCGTGTCATTTTTCCTTTTCTGTCATAGTGGTAACCGATTCTCTCTTGACAGCTTACTCATTTATATTAATGTATAGTATAACATTTTCAACTTATCACATTTTTTCTTCGTATAGTTAATCAAGATAGAATATAGTCAACAGATCGATACTCACAGACGAATGAGCAGATGTAGGCCGGTCCTTTAATTTCTAGTGTCACCATTGAAATTCTTGACTCTGGCATAGATGATCCATTTGTGTCCGAAGTGAATGAGCATTATCAATAATGTCAATCTTCTGTCTTTCTTTTCATTGTCTGAAGTCAAATAGAAATGTCTTTGATTAGTTTTTCTCCTCACGTCAGGCGAGATGAGACAGGCACAAATAGCAATAGTTACATATTATTAGTAAGTTTTGATTATATATACGGTTTTTCACAAGTTTTCGATTCGTTTAAATTTTTATTTATTTGTTCCACGTTCAAAATCAGACAGACAGTGAGGATATATTTTTAAAGAGTAACATCTAAGCTATCACCAGAGATGGGCAACTCCGGCACTACCAACTCCACCCCATTTTTTCCAAATCCCACTTCAACTCCAACTCCTCGATTATTCTGGCCAGTCCGCTCCAACTCTAACTCCAACCTCGACTCCGTTTCAACTCCAACTTTAGTTTTTTTGAAAACGAAGCTCGAATAGTACCGTAAAAATCAAGTGCATTCGATCTTACGTTATAAAATTGAACCCTTTTACAACTGCTTTTAAAATCGATGTCCCATTCTTGATTTTTTTCATTTTCACTGGGCAAGCTACCAAGTCGACAAGAGTTGACAAAAATATATTAACTCCAACTCCATCTATTAATTAATAAGTTCAACTCTAATTCCACTTCAAGTCGACTGAACTTCACTCCAACTCCACTTATCATTTAATAAGTTCAGCTCCAACTCCTCTGGAAAAAAGTGCCAACTCCGGAGTTAACTTCACTCCGGAATTGGGGTCGCCCATCTCTGGTTATCACTTAAAATTTATTGGTGTCAATTAATATTCCTACTAGAAAAGTGGATCATTGCAAAACATACCAAAGTATTTTTATCAGGTTTGTTTTTTACTTTTCAGTACTATACATTTGTCGTTGGTATATAAAAATTTGATATCCAAACCTAGTTTATAATTTAACCCAATAAAATACACCTGATAAAATTATTTTAATATTTAACATGTATTTTCCAACAGTGCACTCTTCTACTTTTTTTTTTTTTTTTTTTTATTATGCCCGTGAATGTAACACTCGGAAGTGCTTACATAAGAAAAAGAGAAATATATATGTATAAGCGAAAAGCAGCATCATTAAAGCAAAGCGTTACAATTTGTGCCAACAATATATTATGCTGCGTACCAATTTTTGCTTATAGAGATATTTAGGGAGTAAATAAATGAAAACACGAATAAAAAAGTGTAAAAAGGAAGAGAGAGAGAGAGAAGTACTGATGATAAGCGGCAGCGGAGATACGTGAGTATAGCGAACAGCTAGAAAAAAAAGAAAAAAGAAGAACAAGCTAAAAGAAACGAACGAGAGAGAAAAAGAAAGAAGAAGAGAGAATGAGAACAGAACCGAAAGTGAACAACTAAAAAGAAGAGAAAAAGAGAAAAAAAAAGAGAGGAAGAAAATTGCGTAAAGACTACATTACATTTATGCCTCTTTCTATGATGTTAATTCGTATCAACAAAGTACAACCACTTTAAAAGGAACGATTCGTGTCGATCTTTCAATTGTCGCACACGACGTGTGCGAAAAAATTGACCAAGGTGATCGTTTTTCCTTTTAAAAAAACTATCCCAACCAAATATATCTTCATAGAAGAATGAAGAACCAAGATCAGTTGTGAACATAGTTTTTAATCTTCGTTGAATATATTTTTTAACGTAAAATTGTAAGGGCTGTTCAGGAGTGACTTTAAACAGATTATTCGCAGAAACGAAGGGACAGCGATGCACCAACCGAAGTCCTACACGGAATTTTTGTTCCAATACATGCTGTAGAGATTCTGGGAGGAGAGGAAAAAGCGGGAATAGCCACGCGAAAAGCGGAAAAGTGTACGCGAAGAAACATTGACGAAGAGCTTTACGTGACATTTTGCGACCGGACTTCATCCATTTCAGTTTTCCTAGCGATCTCTGAATAAATCCTATGGTTTTATCGACTGTCGGTTTCAACGAAAGTTTATCCGTCCAAGTAAACCCTAGGTATTTGAATTCTTTGACTAACTCGATTTTATTTCCGTCTATTGTTACGTTTACTATAGGTCTTTTAACTTGTGTATGAAATACTTGTACTACAGTTTTTGAAACATTTAACGGCTGTTTCCACTTTTTTGCGTACATAAAAACCTGATTACAAACTCGTGACCCTTCTTTTTCTAAGAAGTCAATCATCGGGCCTAATTTTTTCATTATTGGAGGTTTAATTAATACACACAGATCATCTGCAAATAGATGACATGAATGAGCTCCTAGATAATTTGTCAGATCTGAGTGAAACACTATAAATAAATACGGACTAAGACTACTACCCTGCGGCAGTCCTATATTTATATTAAAAATTTTCGAAGTTATTTCACCATATTCTATGTAAGCTTTTCTATCTTTTAACCAACTACTAGTCATTTTCAATAAGTTTAGAGGCATACCCATTTTTTCTAGTTTACAAAGAAGAGCGGCATGCCAAATACGATCATAAGCCTTTTGGTAATCGACATAGAGGGCAAGTGTCGGAATATTAGCTGCCATGTTGTTTTTCACTTCCTGATATATCGAAAGTACTCGAGTTGGTAGGAGACATTTTGGGCGGAAACCAGATTGTTCTGACGGTACTAAACGATTTGTTTCTGCCCAGTGTCTAATTCTAAGTAAAAGCACTTTTTCGAACAGCTTTGAATGTGTAGCTAACAAAGAAATCGGACGAGTTTGCTCACACTTTGGGATACCCGATTTCAACTTATTTAGAGTAATGATTTTTGCAATTTTCCAGTCATCTGGATAATGACACTCGTTTAACCATGTATTGAAGCAGTTAGCTAAGCACTCGATGTAACTTGGAGGAAGTTTTTTAATTATAAAGTTTGACACTGTGTCCAAGCCTGCTGATTTCTTAGGCTTTAAGGTTTTAATTATACGCCTAATTTCAGCAGTACTAGTTTTTTCTACGTTAACCTTCGACACTGATAATCTATTTAACATCTCTTTATACATCCTATCTATCTGACCTTCATGTTCATTAGAGCAATCCAATGCAGGTACTTTAAACTGTTCACTGTAGTACTGGAATAATTCGTTAGTGATTCCTTCTTGTGTTGATATTATTTCAGTACCATCCGATAGTTTATAGAACGGAAGCGATCGCGATTTGTATATGCGCGATAAGTGTGTCCAAAACGCTTTATCTGATTTTTCGTACGACATTTGAATATTAGATAAGAAGTTTTGCCATTGAGCATTTTTATGTTTTGCTATATCAACTTTCGATTCTCTCGTCATTGCGCGTAAAAACACCCTCGTTTCCTCGCTAAAAACTCCTTTATGTCTTAAATGATAATATCTATTTCTCACTTTCCGTATTTCTTTTAATTTTTCGATGATATCAGCCGGTAACGATGGTTTAAATTTATCTCTCTCTTTCCAATGAGTCACTCTGTTTTTGACCGCCGCGATGAAACGAATATATTGCTTATACCACTCATCTGCACTGTTTTTCTTTTGTTCTTCCATCCAGAATATTTGTAATAGCGCTAATACTGCTTCAAATACCTTCCAATTTGTATGAGGAAAAAAACTGTTTGTATCGAAAAAAATGTTCTCGCATGATAGCAAAATAGACCAATGATCACTAGTACCAAAACATAATGTTTCACTTGAAATAGTACTCATATTAGAGAACGACAAATCTATGTTACGTAGGGAGCGCTTAGACGAGTTGGTCGTTGATGTAATATAATTGAGATTATTTTCATTAATCCATTCTCTCACTCGCGCGCCTCTCCTATCAGTTATTGGACTATTCCATTCCTTCACTGTTGCATTAAAGTCACCTGATAGTATGGTACCTTCTATTACATACGGCTGAATTTCATCTAGATCACGCTGTTGACTAGAGGGCCAGTAAATACCAATGATACGCACTGGTTCTGATAGTCCTGATATATCAATAATAACCGTGTTCGGAATGTTAATCTCGATGCGCGTCGCTTTCAGATGCTTCCCTACTGCTATGCATACTCCTCCATTCTTGTTAGTACCCTTTTGATAGAACGTGTTAAAATGTGGTAATCGACATGTGTTCCATAACTCTCCTACTTCTGTAAATATACAAATAGAAGCTTGAACTTTATACACTAAATCAATAGCTTCAACTGCCCGAGTGCCCCATCCTTCGACATTATAGCATAGAATCTTTATATATTCTTTTTGGTTCCGTAAGGAGGCTATTCCAATCTTTTCCCATTCTTCTAAGACTATAATCAAGGTTCTACCTGTATACCATTCATCTAACAGAGATAGTACTAATTTCTGATCTTTAGTTGGAAAATTCCAAGTTTTCAGCCGGTGCATAGCTTCCTCTCTAGAGTTAAATAAATAATTCACTGAAGCAGGAAAAAAAGCTTTGGCGTGTACACTAAGATTTGATGATCTACTTAGCATTATGTGTTGATTTGTATACTGACGAAGGCTGTTGATCGGTTTGAGCAGTGTTATTATTATTATACGTAGTTGGAATCAGCTGAACCTGGTGATTCAATTGGAAGCCATTTATTAATCTTGAGGACGCGACCTGAAAGCGATTGTAGTATTCTTTCGCCACAGGTACCAGCGAAAATCTTTCAATTTTGCCAGTAGTTAACGATGCTGGTATGAAATATTGAATAAAATCTTTCATAATGTTGATGGTATCCGCTAGGACTGCTTGATGTAGCTGAGTGTCGAGATTAACGATTTTTATGTTTGATGATAGTAAATCGACTTTATTTTCTAGTCGTTGGTTGCTATCGATAAGCTTTGTCAGATTATCATTAATAGATTCAATTGTTTTTTCTGTATCTGATGTACGTAAAAAATTCGACTCGACCGTTGTACGAGATTGAGCAATATTCCATTTTTTATTAGAATGATTATCACTTGCTGCTAATGGTGGAAAATCTTGTTCACGAAGTTCGAATGTAGGAGATTTTTCTTGCATTGAAAATCGCTGTAATAATCCTTTTTGAATCGCATCTTCAACATCCTTTTTTAATTCGTCTTTATATTCTTTAATAACTTGACACTGACTATCTAATGAATGATGATTTCCATCACATTGAGCACATTTCGGTTCATTTTTACACATATGCAGAGTATCCACACTCAAATTTTCAAGATAAATTCGACATTTGTTTACTGAGTTGCATTTATTTCTTAAATGACCTATACACCAACATTTCGTGCAGTAAGTTAGACGGTTTCCAGGATAAAACTTGGTGATCGATAACCACGAATGACCTATTGCAATTCGACCCAGTTGCAGCACAGCATTATATTCACTATAATCTTTAACATCGAATCGATAATCATATGTTCTTCTTTGGTAGGAATAGTGAATACGTTTAATTCGATCTGCAGAGGCAATTGTTCTCTGTATTTCATTTGAGACAAAATTTTCATCTAGTTCCCTAGGAACATATCGAACTACAAGAGCAAATGAATCGGGTATATATTTAGGTTTCATGACGACAATATCAATCCCATTTATCTTTGTAGGCCATTTATCCGAACCAACGAGAGTAGCATAATCTTCTTTATTATTAACACCTAACTTGAGCTTTTTCCCTGCCCATCCTACTAATGTAAACTTATTAATTAAAACACCCTTCGATTGTAGTTCTTAAAGTATAAGATCACTTGCATGAAGAGCTGTTGGAATACTATGACGATCAGCATCCGAACTGAATTCAATAAAAAAACATGGTAGATTAGAAGATACCGCGTGCTTCAGTTGATTAAAAGAAATTCGTTTACGATTCGTAGTAGCCTGATTTATCCCTTGATGTTGTCTTTCACCTGACGACATTGACGACGATGATTGTTGTGGTTGTAAATTAATATCTTGTTGTGCATTATGCGATAGCTTTTGTGCATTGTTGTCGATACCTTTTCGAGGATATTTACGACGACCTCTTCCGTTATTGATTGAACCTCCACTATCATCTAGAGGATATCCACGCTTTGGAGTTGAATTCACTGGTTGCACTATTTGCTGTTGCTGATTTGACTTGGAATAATTTGTCTGCAGAAACTTGTGTACACTTAAAGCTGCTTCCGGACATTCCGATAAAAATCTTGATATAAATTCAACTTGAACATTTGATATAGAACCTTGTTCCAGTATCTCATATTCGTTTCCGGAAAGATGATCATTATTAGGACCATTATTAATCACCTCTGCCATCATTCCTCTCTTATCAACTTAGAGAGGCAGATGCACAAGGAATGTAACGATATCAAAAAGAAGAAAAATGCGACTATACTTCACGAAGCAAAAGGAGGGAATGAGTGCACTCTTCTACTAATAACAGTTATTGAGTGAATAAATTTCCAGTGAGAACTTAGATGTTAATTCTGAGTATCTGTCCAACTTTGAATATTCGAAAAAAATAGAAAAACCAAAACGGATCCAAAACTTATCAAACGCTCTTTACAAATATGACTTTCCTAGGAGAGACCTCAAGACGTCTTTTTCTCCAATATTTTAAAAGACGCAATCATTTTCAAATCAACCGTTTTCATGAAACATCGATCTAAATCACATATCAAAACTAAAATTTCGTTGAGATAATAGCAGGGTTGCCAGATCTTCTGAAAAGTCAGGAAAATTTCTGAAATTTGAACATGTTTTCAACTTTTTTTCTGATTTGTTGCCGAATTCCAAACGTTTCTAGATGGTGACTTTACTAGAGAAATTAATTGCGAGTATAACTCATTAATATTATGAATCCATATTCTATTACCTTTTTTCCTTTCTTAATCTTTTGTAATTTCTGAGTTCTGCAGCCACTGATGAGTACTTTAATATATCGGTAAATTTTTGCGTTGCAGAACTTAAAAATAAATGCTAATTATTTTTTTGTACGATTTTGTAAACATATTTTAGCTCAAAAACATTTATTGAAGGAATATTGAACAAAGAAAAACTTGAAAAATAATATGGAATTTATGTTCTATAATCTTTATTATTTTTCGTAAGATTTTTTGATCTGCATTGTTTACATATATGATTTGTTTGAGCATATTTTTCGTAAACAGAGTTTGAGCTTCGTAAAAAAATGCGACACTATGTGTCTTTCCCTAGTTTTTTTTTTGTTTTGACTAACAATTGAAGACCATGCAACGGTAGATTAAGGAGATTGCTCATAGCCGAATCAAATGAATGCGTTCACTCACAGACCAACTAGTTTAAAACCTCAACTGTCACTAACGTACACAGACCGAGATGTTTAAAATGTAAGATATTTAAAGTTTGTCATGTGCCCACACTACAAAATTTCAACAACACTTATTTTTCTTTTGTTGTCGTGGTTGGATGGAACATGATCATTTACATAAGGAACAATATCACACAAATTCAAAGGCAATTCGATAGGAATTAAAATTTTTTGTTTATTACCCTTATAATTAAAAAATAAATGTTGTTTTAGACTTTGTATAATTTGCTTTTTAATATGCGTGATATTGTTTTCTCTTATGTAAATGGTTCTACTCCATCCAACCATGACGAGAAAAGAAAACTAAGCGTTGATGAAATTTCGTAGAATGGCACATAACAAACTGTAAACTTTTTGAAACACGAATATCTCGATGTGTGTATACACTATTGGTAGCTCATATTTTTAATTAGTTACTTTGACAGTGAGAGCATTCATTTGATTTGACTATGATCAATCTCCTTAGTTTACAGTACACGATCTTTTACTCGAAGCTATATAATGGTTGTGTTGTCTTTCTTTCCTATGAAATACTTTTGGAAGCAAAATATGAGTCGATAAAAGAAAAAAAGTGAAGCCATTCGTGCACGTATGTCAACATGAGAGTCCTTGATTTGCAAAAAGTTATTCTTTCTGATTAGTTTCCAATTTCGGAAAAAAATTCTGATTCTTTTTCTGATTTTGAAGTTTTTTATCTAGCAACCCTGGATAATAGGCCGTTTTCACGTATATTTTGCAATGTTTTGCAGAAATGATTGATTTTAAAATGGTTTCATCGTATAGAATAGTGGAGGAAAAGACGTCCAGTGCCACCTCTTTCGACTGGTAGACACCGTAGTTCTCTAGCTCTTTCTATTTTTGAGTTATTGCAAAAGTGGTCACGGCCACTATTTCATTTAACATGCAATAATAAATGCTGAACTATTCGTTTAATGTCTATTTAAGGGAATGAACTCTATTGACTATGTACAAGCAATAGACCTACTAAGAACAGCATTAAATAATCCTGAGGCCCGCTTTCGTGATGGCCAGTGGGAGGCCATTAATGCGTTGGTGAACCATCGACAGAAGTTACTGGTTGTGCAACGTACCGGTTGGGGAAAAAGCTCAGTGTACTTTATCAGTATCCGTATTTTTCGTAATTGGGGCATGGGACCAGCGATCATTGTTTCACCCTTATTGGCTTTGATGCGTAACCAGATTGAATCGGCTAAACGTTTAAACATTAAGGCGGTGACCATGAACTCTACCAATCAGAGCGAATGGCAGAAGACGACCCAACAAATATTGGCCAATCAAGTGGATTGCTTACTGATCTCTCCAGAACGACTGGCCAACGATGATTTTGTGACAACAGTCTTACAACCTATCTCGAATCAAATTACTTTGATAGTGGTGGATGAGGCCCACTGTATCTCAGATTGGGGACATGATTTCCGCCCGGACTACCGTCGTATCGTTAATATTTTGCGTCAGCTGCCGACCGATACATTAGTTTTGGGTACTACGGCCACGGCTAATAACAGGGTGATTGACGATATACGTGTACAGCTAGGGGATATCCATATCCAGCGCGGATCGCTTATTCGTGAAAGTCTGGCTCTGCAAAATATTGTGTTATCCGATCAGGCGTCTCGCTTAGCTTGGTTGGTGCAAACTATTCCTGAATTATCGGGCACGGGCATTATATACACATTGACCACACATGATGCTGAGCAGGTCGCCTCATGGCTCAGTCAAAATGGCATCGATTGTAAAGCCTATCATGCCAATGTTTGCCATTCTGATTTTACTGGTAGCGACGCTTACCGGCAGTATCTTGAAGCCTTGTTATTACATAATGAACTGAAAGCACTGGTCGCCACAACGGCATTAGGTATGGGCTATGATAAACCAGACTTAAGCTTTGTCATTCACTATCAGGCGCCCGGATCAATCGTCGCCTACTACCAGCAGGTAGGGCGTGCAGGTCGCGCCATCAACAATGCCATTGGTGTATTGATGTCCGG